AGGGGAGATAAGCAGCCACGGATCAGACTGGAGAAAGAGGAGAGAATGAGAAAAGAAGCAAACTCTGCACAACAATCACATCCACTCTTGGCTAATCCCAAGTAAAGTCGGGAGCTGTTGGGTTAGATGGGGTCTTATAGGACAGAGGCCCCCAACCTTTGGGGCACCAGGGACCGGTTCCGTGGAGAGAGGTTTTTCCACGGACTGGAAAGTGTGTGGTTTTGTGTGCTGCCTGCATCCCACGGATGGGGCTTTGCTTGTTTGTGCGGACCGGTTTGCTGGCATGCCGTGGACCGGTACCGGTTGGGGACCCGTTATAGGAGATGCAATCCACTGGCCAAGAAGTTCTCCATTTATGGATAGAGAATGGAGGCTGGAATAGAGGGGCCAGTCATAATCCTGCCTCTCCATTGGATAACAGCCTCGTGAAGAGACAAAGGCAGTCCCTTCAGATTAAATGTCATAGGGAGAGGAAACTAGAACTGGAGAGATATTACTGGTCAGCGGCACCAGAGTAGTGTTAATAAATAATAACAACAACTACTACTACTACTACGACAACAACAAAGTTGGAAGGGACCTTGGAGGTCATCTAGTCCAACCCCCTGCTCAGGCAGGAAACCCTATGCCATTTCAGACAAATGGCTGTCCAATCTCTTCTTAAAAACTTCTAGTGTTGGAGCATTCACAACATCTGGAGGCAGGTTGTTCCACTGACTAATTGTTCTCACTGTCAGGAAGTTTCTCCTTAGTTCTAGGTTGCTTCTCTCTTTGGTTAATTTCCATCCGTTGCTTCTTGTCCTGCCCTCAGGGGCTTTGGAGAATAGCTTGACCCCCTCTTCTTTGGGGCAGCCCCTGAGATATTGGAACACTGCTATCATGTCCCCCCTAGTCCTTCTCTTCATTAAATTCTGTTCATTTATTCATTTGTACCCTGCCTTTATTATTTTTACCAATAACTCAAGGCAGTGAACATATCTAATACACTTTCTTTCTCCAAAATCCCTTCTAGTTCTGTTATTCTGTAATTCTGCCACTGCTCTACAGAGGTTTCAAAACTTCTCGAAAAGTTAGTGGAGGGTCTGCTAGCCCACTGGAGAAGAACCAAGAACAAATTTGCCAAAACAATTTTTCATTTTGTTAATTGCCCCTGTCCTGGAACTGCTTCGGTGCAGGCCAGGAATATATAAAAAAGAATTACATTTTTCTTTTCCCTAGCCAAAGTTGATCTGAGTTTCTGCTTGCAAGGTCCTTTTCTGTGTTTGCTCAAAAGGAAGTTGAGCTTTGTTCACACAACACACTCAGTCTTAGACCCCAGCTTCCAAAATCTTCGCAGCTGGGTTTACACAACGCAAATCAACATCGAAAAAGCCTCACTGCAGCTTAGGACCATGTGCAAATCTAGGTCACAGTGCTCATTCCAAAATGCAATCTTTTTGTGATTAGAAAAACATGGCA